CAATCAAGGCTCCAGAATCCAGACTGCTGACTGCAAACTCCACACTCCAGACTGCAGAATCCAGACTGCAGACTCCAAACTGCAGACTCCAGACTGCAAACTCCAGACTCCAGACTGCAGACTCCAGACTGCAGACTCCAGGCTGCAGACTCCAGACTGCAGACTCCAGACTGCAGACTCCAAACTGCAGACTCCGGACTGCGAACTCCAAACTCCAGACTGCAGACTCCAGACTGCAGACTTCAGACTGCAAACTCCAGACTGCAGACTCCAGACTGCAAACTCCAGGCTCCAGAGTGCAAACTCCAGACTCCAAACTGCAGACTCCAGACTGCAGACTCCAGACTGCAGACTGCAGACTCCAGACTGCAAACTCCAGACTCCCGATGCAGACTCCAGACTCCAGACTGCCAACTCCAGAATCAAGACTGCAGACTCCAGGCTCCAGAATGCAAACTCCACAGACAGACTGCAGACTCCAGACTCCAGACTCCAGACTGCAGACTCCAGACTCCAGACTGCAGACTCCAGGCTGCAGACTCCAGGCTGCAGACTCCAGACTGCAGACTCCAGACTGCAGACTCCAGACTGCAGACTCCTGACTCCAGAATCCAGACTCCTGACTCCAGAATTCACAGCCCAGACCCCAGAATCCAGCATCCAGACAGCCCCGCCCCAAAGCCCGGAAAGGCCGGTGCAGTTTTTTCGAACTTAACAAAACTTAACTTAACTTAACCTGGGCGGGTCGTGTGGAGCCGTGGAGTCCCTATTGTAACTCAATCAACTTAACTGCCAAACTTTCCCCGTGAGGCCCAGTTGCGTCACCACGACTTAACATAACTTAACTTGGCCCCGTGGCCGAATTCCACCACAAAATGATCAGGATCCTGGAGCCAGGTGTCATTGTGTCTGGAATCTGGAATCTCGAGTCTGCAGTCTGGATTCTGGAGTTGGCAGTCTGGACTCTGCAGTCTGGAGTCTGCAGTCTGGAGTCTGCAGTCTGGAGTTTGCAGTCTGGAGTCTGGAGTTTGCAGTCTGGAGTCTGCAGTTTGGAGTCTGCAGTCTGGAGTCTGCAGTCTGGAGTGTGGAGTTTGCAGTCAGCAGTCTGGATTCTGGAGCCTTGATTGAGTCTTGCAGCCTTTCATCCGCGCACTCACAATCCAAACATGCAAAAAATCGAAAGGTGCCATCAGACCACCGCTTCAAGTGCCATCTCGAAATAAAAATCACGCCGAACAATTCCTGGGCGGACCAGCCGCCAGCGGACAACCGCTTCAAGTGCCATCTCGAAATGAAAATGAACGTGGCAAAAAAAGCTTGGCGGACCGGCCGCCAGCGGAACCACCGCTACAATGATATATCATCAAACGAGAAAAGCAAAATGGGCGGACCGGCCGCCGGCGGAGAAACCACCCCATGCGACTATATGAAGGCGGACCGGCCGCCAGCGGAGACACCGCTATAGAAACGATTATTGGACAACAAAATTAAACCGAGTCAATCAGTGCAAAAAATGCTCCGGCTCCATCGAGCCAAGCGTGCGAAGCAGCGCGAACAAACAGCGTAAACTGCATGCGCGATGGCTCACTGCGCGGTCCTGCCGCGATGGCTCACTGCGCGGTCCTGCCGCGATGGTCGCTGCGCGGTCCTGCCGCGATGGTCGTTGCGCGGTCCTGCCGCGATGGTCGCTGCGCGGTCCTGCCGCGATGGTCGCTGCGCGGTCCTGCCGCGATGGTCGCTGCGCGGTCCTGCCGCGATGGCTCGCTGCGCGGTCCTGCCGCGATGGCTCACTGCGCGGTCCTGCCGCGATGGTCGCTGCGCGGTCCTGCCGCGATGTGTTTTCCAAACATGGAAGCGGCCCCGCCGCCGCTACGCCGTGTTCCGCCCTGCGCGGTCTAGCCGGGAGCGACCGTACGTCTCGAAAAATGATGCGCGCGCGCGTAGTCCGGTGTCAGGCTTTCTCTCTCGTTCAGCGATGTGGTCCGCAACATGTCAGGGGTAGCGCACGCGTGCTTTTTCGCACGCAGGCAGACACGTAGACTCAGCGAGGTAGACGCGTTTGGGACATTGCTTCGCAAGCGCTGAATGACCGAAGGCTGTTTTCCTCAAATGGTGCTAAAAAGCTAAGTCCCAGCTAAGTTCATTCTAAGTCCCGGCACCCGGAACTTAGCTCGAACTTATAAGTGGGCCTATCTAAGTTAAACATAGACAAGTAACTTATAACTATCCTCGGACTTAGCAAACTTATAAGTCCACTTGTCCCGCGTTATAAGTCCACTTGTAGTAACTTATAACTCAAGTTATAAGTACGACCCTATCCCGGTACTCACATAGTCCGACCCTAGCTCAATATAAATCTGCAAGCGCTGGGGAATCGCGATCCCCGCCGTTGATGTCTGCGCTTGTGCGTGCGTGCGTGCGTGCGTGCATGGGGTGGGGGTCGGGGTGGGGGTGGGGGTGGGGGTGGGGGTGGGGGTGGGTGTGGGTGTGGGTCTGTGTGTGTCTGTGTGGGTGTGTGTCTGTGTGTGTCTGTGTGTGTCTGTGTGTGTCTGTGTGTGTCTGTGTGTGTCTGTGTGTGTCTGGTGTGTCTGTGTGTGTCTGTGTGTGTCTGTGTGTGTCTGTGTGTGTCTGTGTGTGTCTGTGTGTGTCTGTGTGTGTCTGTGTGTGTCTGTGTGTGTCTGTGTGTGTCTGTGTGTGTCTGTGTGTGTGTGTCTCTGTGTGTGTGTGTCTCTGTGTGTGTGTCTCTGTGTGTGTGTCTCTGTGTGTGTGTCTCTGTGTGTGACTCTGTGTGTGTGTGTGTGTCTCTGTGTGTGTGTGTGTGTGCGTGTGTGCGTGTGCGTGTGCGTGGGCGTGTGGGCGTGTGGGCGTGTGGGCGTGTGGGCGTGTGGGCGTGTGGGCGTGTGGGCGTGTGGGCGTGTGGGCGTGTGGGCGTGTGGGCGTGTGGGCGTGTGGGCTTGTGGGTGTGGGCGTGTGGGCGTGTGGGCGTGTGGGCGTGGGGGCGTGTGGGCGTGTGGGCGTTTTGGCGTGTGGGCGTGTGGGCGTGTGGGGTGTGGGTGTGTGTGTGTGTGTGTGTGTGTGTGTGTGTGTGTGTGTGTGTGTGTGTGTGTGTGTGTGTGTGTGTGTGTTTGTCTGTGTGTGTCTGTGTGCGTCTGTGTGCGTCTGTGTGCGTCTGTGTGCGTCTGTGAGCGTCTGTGTGATTGTGCGTGTGTCTGAGCGTGCGTGCGTGCGTGTGTGGGTGCGTGCGTGCGTCCGTGCGTGTGTGGGTGCGTGCGTGCGTGCGTGCGTGTGTGGGTGCGTGCGTGCGTGCGTGCGTGTGTGCGTGCGTGCCTGCGCGCAGGCGTGTGTGCAGGCGTGTGTGCGTGCGTGCGTGCGTGCGTGCGTGCGTGCGTGCGTGCGTGCGCGCGCGCGCGTGCGGGTGGCTGGGTGGGTGGGTGGGGTGTGTGAGTGGGTGTGTGTGTGTGTGTGTGTCTGTGTGCGTGTGTGTCTGTGTGTCTGTGTGCCTGTGTGTCTGTGTGTCTGTGTGTCTGTGCGCCTGTGCGTGTGCGTCCGTGTCCGTGTCCGTGTCCGTGACCCCTGTAATGCATGGGGAACCCTGATCAGCACGGTCCTGAATCCAGGCTGCCAGCGGTGCAACAGTTCGCTATTCTGACGCTTGTTGCAAATGCTTCCAGGATTCCACTTTTGATGGGGCCCGTACCTTGTGGGGTCGAAAGGCTCAGGCGCTGCAGAATGATAGTGCCGCTACAAGGCCCCAATGCCCTAGCTCAAGGGGGCTGCGAAATGCTTCTACTCGTGCAGATCCAGTGCAGGGATTTGGTCACACCCCAATCTGGTAAAGCGCAGACTCTTCTAAGTGTTCTGCCCTGAGCGCAGGAACAATGTGGAACAACAGTACGCAATGGATAGGGACTGCATGCTGGTGCTGACCCTGTTCTGTGCATTCTTGCAACAAGATCGGATGAGTTGACTGCGGCAACGAGACGCCAAAAGAGAAATCCGAAATGCATTTTCTTGCTGGTCAGCAGGGAATGAGGAAGTGACCCCTATGAACCAACTGGTGGTTTCCTTCAAAAAGGCGAAACGGAACCCCCGATTTTTCGCAGCTCGAAGATGGAACTGGCAATTCGGGACTCGCCGGCCTGGAGGCGCCCAGATAGAGCCCATTGCGTTGCTCCGCTTCTTCCCGGGAGATGGTGCCGAGGCCGTCCATGCCGTGCGGCTCATGGCAAGGGACCTTTTCAAGGAGCTGAAAAGCTGCCAGGTGCTGTTTGGCCTCCTTGTGGTTGTTGCCTAGCACTAGCACATGCACTTAACACGGGGGCAGCAAATATCATAATCTGGTCATCGGGGCCTCGATGAAGAATCGGGATAACAACTGCAGAGACTTGTCCTGCAACCATGGTCCTTGCCTAATCGGGACTTGAGACCATGGAGCGCATGTTGAGCTGCTGCTCCTCACGCGCAAAAGCTTATAGTATGCTCCCTGACTCGCCCTTCGTGTCTCTACGGGGCCATACTGGGACCCTTGGCATATCCCTGGGTCCCTGGGTTCCTAACAGGGAACTCAAAAACAACATACCATTTACAGTTCATTGGGTCAAAAGGCCAACAACGAAAACACAACCAAACAAAACTAAAACGCAGCACGCAAGTACGCAGCAAGCAGGAAAGCAAGCAAGCAGCCAAACGCACAAACACAAACCACGCCAACACATTCACAAGAACAACAGCAAAGTACATGCTTGAGCGGTATTGTACTCGTGCTACCTTAGTTATATCTGCTCTGAATATTGCACCTGCCGGCCGCGGCAGGCTCATCACGGCGTGACAAACACAACTCAACGAATGGAGAAGCTGACAGGAAGGAACATAAAACCTTGAGATATGACTGACAACATTCTCCAGACAATTATTGACATAGAATCTCAAAAGAGATTCCTTAACCGATGATGCCTGTCTGGCTTCCACGCTAACCTGCATGGAGGTACTAACCCAGCCGCAGCACGCAGCACGGCAATGGCAAATGTGCGCATTTGTGATCCCGAAAGCTATGGCTTTGCATTTCATGCGATGGGCCACGAATCGGGAAGCTGGGTCGAATTCGATTGCACAAGCCATGGATGGCAAAAAGCTTGTCTATTCCTGTTGAGTTTACAACATGCTTCATCTTTGCAACATGTCATCCGCATGCGCGGCTAAGGATCAGCCCGCGTGAGCTCTGTCTCGAAGACTGCTAGAGCGGGATCTTGGTCACATGCAGCTGAGTGATCGACCCAGCGAGGTCGGCTGCACGGCTTTCAGCCCGGGAGCTGGATCGAAGAGAACGGGAACGCCGGGATCGCGAGCTCCGAGAGCTCAGGCTTGAGTGGTCGGAGCGTCCACGTCCCAAATGCCGCCCACGCTCGTCAGGTAAACTTCGGAGGTTGGATTGAGTCAAAGTCGCCGTGGGAATAAACATGTTGGCAACCCAGCGCTCCAAAAATTGGTCGTACTCCCTGGTCACGGACGCTTGCCGCTCGCCAAATCCCAGCAGCTTTAAGGTTACAGCAGCCGCCTGGGGAATGGACAAACGTCCCATCTGACAGTTTCCGGTTGGCTCAACGCATGGCCCAGCTATGCTAAGTCGATAATGAGAACATGGTTTTGTAGATTCTCATGAGTACAGTCCTTGCTACGAGTTCATGAAAAGGGACGTGAATCAATATGTGGGTCTGCGGTTCAAGCCAAATCCAATTGCAAACAACGACCCTACTAGGCAGGAAACCACACGAAACCAACAACCGTCTCTCCTCGTCTGACTCCTTCAGGCGCTGCAGTTGACTGCGCAAAGACAAGTGGCTCTCCGGGCTTACAATGTCCAGAATGCTGTCCTTGCACTCACGGGGAGTTACACCACCCGTCTGGTTTCTTGGACATCGAATTAAACCATTGGAACTTCTGGAATTTGTGGAGTTGGCGTACAAAACCTTCCGTGGCCCGTTACCTCTTTCTCCCCAGGAAACCAAAACACTAATGCCAAAGCGCTGCCCCATTGTGTCCAAGCATCCGGCATGCTGTCGCTCGGGTGCAACGACTTGCACAACTGCTTCATCCCATCACTCATGATTTGGATTTCGAGCGACTGCAAGTCGAAAACCAGGCAAAAATCCGCAGCGCTGCTGGTGGGTGGATGCAATGGAGCTGCAGCAAGCGAACCACGTTCAAAGTCCTGTATCTCACGTATACCCACCAGGAAGCACCTGACAGCGTGCAACGCCCTACATGGTGCACATTGAGGCCTTCTCTTGATTTTTTCCCTGCCGTGAAACAGGGAAATTCAGAGAGGATTGTTCGCTGAGAAGCCTCTTTGGCTGCCTGTCATGGGGGTGAGAAAAGAAAAGAATGACCCGGTATGGCAAACTAAACGAGGAGTAGAGTCAAACCAATTACCACCAGGGAGCCAGCAAAACCACTGTTAGCGCGCCGCTCTTGTCGCTCAAAGACCAAAAGCCGATCTCCATGACTACATTGGCCCTTGCAGCTATTTGTCATTAACAATGGCCTTGCCATGTCTGAGTTGTCTGACCCGCTGAACCTGCGTGTGGCTGCTGTGTGCGGAGCCGCTGGCTTTGGGCGATTCGGGCCGGCCTGCAGTTAAAGCTTTCATTTTGTGTTCTCACAGCTCAGAGCCGTTCCATCTGAATAGATTGCTTTTGCTTGCAGTTTTGCTGCCCGCTTTGCCCGCCTGACCTCTGCTGCTGATTCCTTCTGCAGTGTGTCCTGGGCTTTAGCTTCTGCTCTTTCAGTTGCTTGTTCTTATCTGTCTGTGCAAAACTATGCAACCTGTCTCTATGTCTGTGGTTGCGCTCGTGGCGTCTCGCTGCAGGTAGTGGGGGACCTGCCCCGGCTGGGGGGCGTGCACGCCGAGCACAAGGACCCTTTTAGATCGCTTCTTGCACTGTTGATAACTTTTGCACGCGGGTCATACCGGACCTGTCCCGACTGGGGGAGGGCGCACGCCGAGCGCAAAGACCCCTTGTACCTCGCTTCTTGCGCTGTTGATTTCCTTGTTTCAGACAAAGGGGCGACGCGCTGAGCGCGACTGTCCCTCCTGCCAGCCGAAGAGCAGCTCGCGCGAGCTTGGCGAATGGCACTGGAACGCTGCCGGAACATATATGTTGATTTGGCGTGCTCCACCATGGACAATATTGCGCATTGCTCACGTTTTGTTGCTGTCCTGCTTACTACATCTGCATGAGTCGCCCCACACGCTTCCCTTCAATAGGCTGCCTGTTTGTCCATCCAAAATGTAGACGCTCCACAGAGTGTGTTGCCCAAAAACGGCTCGAAGGCAGCCATGTCCTTGAAGTTGCGCGTCGCCCACTGCTCAGCCAAGCTTTATCTTCCGCCATGCACACATGAAGTGCAAGCATTGTCCACATAATAAGCTCCAAGTTTGTGGCCTCTAGCAGCGACTACAACAGTCGCACAGCCTGCAAAGTTCAGGCTTTGGTTGTCTGCCATGTGAGTGAACTTCCGCACCTTGAGAGCTATTGCCCAGCCGGCTGCTCGAAGCATTGAGTGCCGAAGCGCATCCTCTGACGAAGAACCATAGGATGTTCAGACAAGCTACACTTTCATACACCTTTAAACTTTCACGCATCCGCGTCACAAACGGCAGTTCTGCCAGCGGGGAGAGACATATGCAGTTAGCTTCAACTGCTCCTGCCGCGGAAATTGAGGGTGTAGCCGCGTAGCCGCGTAGCCCACATCTTTGCGCGGCTCCGACACTCCTCGGCGCAGAAATTGTTTCGACCAGGGCTCCGAGCTGGACGAAAATGGCTCTTCTTCGGAAGACCAAAGGCGCCTTGAGTCCTGAAGTCTGCAGACCCATTGCACGCATTCTTGTTGCAGCTCCTTCGCAGTCTCAACGTTCAGGATGCTCAGGCATTCACACTCAGAGCTTTGGCCTCTCCGCTGCTGCTTAAGTCTTGCGCTCCTCATGTGCATCCGCCGGGAATGACTCACCAGTCGCAAAAACGCAAATCCGCCGCCGTGATGATTCTTGCTCTTGCCCGTGTCCTGCTCCATCAAAACTTCTTCTCGGTTACTGAAGGCGTAGACGTCATCCGTGGCCTTGTCAACCTCTTCATCCGTCGCAAATGCCCTTGCCATCCCTTGCCAGAGCTCACCACCGTTGGACAGGATGAATGACCAATTTGCCCGAATGCTTGCAATGAAAGCATCCGATCTGTCCATTCATCCAAGGCGTGATTTTCCAAAAGCCAACACTAAAACATGCTTTAAGGGGATGAAACTGTGCACAACTAAGCAAATACTAAACCGATTCGCGGTGCGCGCGCTCGAATGTTTAAAGCAGCACTGGGTCAGCCCAAGCGACACTACAACAACTCTCCTGGATCTTCCAAATTATGGAAATTTCACGTAAAATCCGGAGACTACAGTTTTTTTGAGGGTCTCAGTGAAAAAAAAACGGAGTTTTCAAACTCCGGGCTTTTGAGGTAAAACTCCTAGAAATTGATTGTCGCTTCTGGAAAGGGTATGCACACCTGAAACCCCTAGAAATCGCAAATATTCGGTACTTGACGGAAGGAATCCAATTCAGACATATTCTGAATCAGAATTATTCAGAATTCGGAATTCTTGTCTTTGTGCGGCAAATTGGCAAAACCGGAAAGCACCACACCTGAAACTCAGCGCAAACTCCCGCAAATCAAAAAAAGACGGAGTTTCCGGAGAGTGCAAAATAAAATCAGTGGAATACCCACTCGAGTGCGCAGAGCTGCATAATTGCTGGGACAGTGTACAGAGTTTGTACAATTAATTGCGGGCCCTAACAAAGAAAAAAGACAACAAGACTTGTTTCCAATTGTTTCCCCCAAGAACCACTCATAGTTTTTGATGTTCACTCTGCAATTTGCCTGCCACTCCTGCTTTCTGATTCATGCATTTGAACCACCTGAGGCAACTGGTTTTCAGAGGGTCTCTTGGAAATCACCTGGAGAACGGAAAAACAAAGAAATCACTCGGAGACGGAGGACCCAGGCTGGTGCTTATTGAGCGACTACATCAGCAGGCCCAACTGGCCAACGCCTGTTTTGAGGCTCTCCCGTACTCCCGCTTCGCCCCCCCCCCCCCCATTTTTGTTTGAGGGGGCTGGCCTGTACTAATCCGGACCCAAAAGTGGTTAAGATTGTCCCATGGCCTGTCATTTGTCAAGTTGTCGAACTGCACGCATACCAGCTCAACCTTCACACGGTTGAAATCCGAGTCCAGTATGTCTGCATTCAACGCCGTTGCAGATTGGCTGGTGGAAGTCCGAAATTGCTCCGAAATGCGAGCCCTGTCCTCCTCGTGAAACAAGTTCGGCAACACCTCCTCAGACAGACCTGACGCCCTTTGCGTTCGCAATAGCATGGAAGAGAGCTGGGGCGAATCCTTGCAAAGTCGCAGCAAACCGCGGAGTTGCCCCCTACACGTCCCGCACTTTGAAGAGGCTTACTTTTGGTTTGCTTGGAAGGTGTGGGCTTTTGCCTGGCTCTGAACACCTTGAAACCTGACACAACATGAAGCAACACGTTTCACATACTGCTTGCAGCCAGGGTCGTGTGCGAGCCTTAATCCTTGATCCACCTCTAGCACTGCATCGTAGCACGCAGCAAGTAAGGAGGAGACCGCCCCCAGCTCCACAGTCCGCTTCTGCACGTCCACCCTCAGGAGCACATTCTCCAGCAGGAGCCTTCGAACAGCCAAAATGCCCCAAAACATCGCCAGAAATATGGCGAGCAAATCTGGGATGGTGACGCCCGACCCTGCAGCTTGAGAATCTTGGGCGTGCCTCGCCACGGATAGGTGGATTGCTTGGAGTAAGTGTGCGGTTATGCAAAAGACCACGCAGGACGCGCGATTCGCCAGCACCGCATACATGAAGCGGCCGGGAAAGGTGAGAGTGATCACGTCCCTGACATCGATGTTGTGAAACAACCCCGCAATCACAATTGCAGCATCCATGCCCAAGGCCGCCATCATGTACAAGACATCCTGGCTGCAGGGATTGATCAGTCGTGGACACCACACTATCACCAGCCCCATGGCGCATACCCAAACAAGTCCAATTTCAAACTCTTCCCCAGTCTGGTCCCCAGGCGATCGCCGCACTTGTCGCAACAGCAAGCGGGGCAGGTTTATTGCAAGAAATACCCACCAAGTTGTACGTGTCCAGGAGCAGCGCATCCTCGCCAGTTCCTGCCCACTGTGGTCCGAAGCATCAGCCTCTTCCAGGTACTGCCTCTTGATTTTGTTCCACTGCTCGCGCCATTTCTGGTTCCCGCGGGCCACCATGGATCGAAGGGACCATGCGTTCGCTTGAAGAAAGGAGACCACAAGCTGGATCAGTTTTAGCAGAAGACCCAGCTGCAGTACCAAGATGCCAGGGCGCAACACAGATTCCGCGAAGGCTTCCATGGCTTCTCGGGAAAAGACGGGCTTCGAAACTTGGCTGAGCCCTTCGGAAAAAAACTCGAGCCTTCAAAGTCTTCGAGCCATCTGTTGAATGACGAACGGTGGTCAAAACAAACAATAGAAGGAATCCACGCAGTAACGTGAAAGTTGCCAGTTGAAAGCTTCTATGAAAAAAAAGCTGTGGACAGAGGTTCCACACAAGAGTTCTCTGAGAGAAGCTCTACAAATGTTCGGTAGAAAGTCCTGGACAAGATGACTGTGCAAAGACCTGCTTTGCAGGACGTGTGGAAAGAGATCACTTGGTAAGATCTCTTGGGAAGACTTGTGCGCAGGATCTCCGAGAGAATCCTCTTCAGGATGTCTCTCTTCAGGCCTGCGCGGGATCCGTTGAGAGGATCTCTATGAAGGACTAGAGCAAGACATTTGTGGGGGGATCTGTACAACACCTCTACACAAAATCTCTGCGTAGGGTCTGTCTTTGGGATGCCCTCGCCAAGCGTTCTTCTAACTTAAAAGCAAATCTTTGCAGGTGCTGCGCCAGACTTCTCTGAGAGGATCTCTATGAAGGACCGGCGCGAGATTTCTCTGAACGGCTTTTACAACATCTGCACGAAAGATTCCTTGATAGGACGTCTTGCCAAGACCTGGCAGCAGGATCTCTGGATAGCATTCCTTGGCGACATCTGTGCGCAGGATTCGTAGAGGTGCCTCTTCATATTAAAAGTTCTGCGGCCAGGATCTGTAGAAAGCACTCTCCACAAGGTCTCTTGCGAGAGAATGCTTTCAGGTCATGTGCTTCGATGTTGACAATTTGTACTGCGCCACAGTGAGAGCGACCCGGGCCAACTACTTTTCGCACATTCCGCACAGGGTATTCACTTTCAACTTTGAATGTTCTGTACTCGCAAGAGCGATGGAGCCTCCCAGCTCCACGGTCCGCTGCACGTCCCTTCTTAAAAGCACAACACTACGCTACTAGCCCCGTGGCGCATACGCAAAGAAGTCCAAGATCACGCTCTTCCCGAGTCTGGTCCCCATGTGATCGCCACACTTGTCGCAACAGCAACCGGGGCATGTTTATCGCCAGAAATACCCACCAAGATCCACCAAGATCCCATGTTGTCCGGGTTGACGTTGTCAGCTCCACAAGACACAGCACGCAGAAAGATGTGAATTTCAGCCGAGTGTTTTTCCCAAAACAATGTTCGGACCATTTTGGACCCTCTACATTCATCGCTTGGCTTTACTCAATACGCAAGAAATCTTGCATGACTTTGAAGCAGATCCAAGCCATCTTATTACGACTTGCCCTGTATCCCCCAAATTAACATTGTTCCTAATTTTGCCAAGTTGGATTGGAATTGGTCATGCAAGAATTAGGTCATTGACAACCTATGAGGGGCCGCGGGGTGGCAAACATGTAGTCTTGTAAACTCATACAATATTTCTTCCATCAACAGTATGAGCCAGGCATTGCCGTGGGAAGGAACACTATGGGATGTCACTGGCAACACCCCCTGGCAACTTGAAAGGGGACCTAGCAAAAGGGCTCCTTAAAAAAGAGGCTCACTTACAGGCATTGCCTCTTTCTGTTCCATCCCAACCTGCAGCGCACATTGGCAATTGCCCTTTGTGCCTTCTCTGTTGAGCTTGATCCAAGCAGCTTCCTCCCGCAAGCTGTGGCTCCGACATTTCATGTGGCACCACAACTTCAAGGGCATTTTTGCGCCATGAGTCGGGGAAACTAGGTCGAGTTCAAGCTGGCCACCAAACGTATGAAACCTACATGGACCTAAAGAACTGTTGATATATCTCATAACAAGCTTTCCGACGATCCTTGAAGCCCGGAACTGCCATCACAGCGGGGTCTTGGTGACATACAGCTGGGAGATCGATCCGGATCGATCAGTACGGCACAGACGTATTCTACCGCACCGGCTGGATCGGCTGGAATGCCTCGAACAGGAGCTGCGATGGGACTTTGAGCGCTGCGACCAGGATGAGCCTCAGTTGTTCAGTGACCCTGGAGAAAAAAGGGAACCCTTCTTGGGGAAGACCGGACTTTTAATGGGGAAGCCACCCCAAAAAAAGGGAAAAATAATTGGTGCCACTGAACAACTGAGGAACTCATTTCCAGAAAGTGGCCGTGATCAGGTCCATGAAGTGGCTGAGTCTCCGGTAAACTCCGGAGGTTCGATTCAGTCAAAGTCGCCTTGGGAATCACCATGCAAGCAACCCAACACTCCAACACTTAGTGTCGTGCTCAATGGTCGCTGTCGCCGTCCGCTCGCCAAGGCCCAGCAAATTGAAGGTCACCGTAGCCACCTCCTGAGCAATAGGAAAAACATACGACTCCATTGTCCCACATAGCATGGCTATGATATGCCCATGCTAGATAACATGGCTTTGCCGGACTAACGCGTGCACATAATCACGCAACCAGTGACAGGCAAACAAAAAATCTTGAGTGGCAGACCCAGTGGCAGATAGTGTCCTTTCCCCTGCAACCAGTGACCCAAGAGGTAAAACAGACTTGGATCCCTTTTTAGGCTGTCTCGCATTCTTAGCGTGTCACAACTTTACCCAGCTAGGTAAATTCCACTAAGCAAATAGTGTGAACAATTGGTGCCGTGCAAAAAGGGGTTTCTACAGATTGTCGCAAAGCCGATTTAGAGGATATCACTGAACACCGTTGGCATTTGGGCTCCTGGTCTGCCTCCTTCTGCTGCTGCTCTCGCTCGGCAAATTGGTTGGCCATGAGTTGCAATTGTTTGGTCATCGTCACCCGAGTGTCAGGGCTTGCGATGTCCAGGATATGTTCCTTGAGTTCAAAAGGTGTCACACACCATGACCAACTTCGACATCTCATTGCACTTCAGGCAGAAAACATGGGCCTCTGTGCATGCACTAAACTCGAAACATATCCTCAACTTGTGCGATGAGTTGTGGAATGGTGGGATTGTTGAGAAACCTTCCTTGGCCGCTGTTGATTAACCTCCATGTTGGATTTGGTGCAACAGAAGTGTGTCAAACTGTCCATGCCAAGCGGACTCATATTCTGTCCCAGCAGCCAGCATGTTCCCACCCACCGGCAGCAGCTGTTGGCAAAGACGCTGCATCCCATCGCTCATAATGTGAACTTCGAGCGAGTACACATCGAAGACCACAAACAAATCTTCATCCCCTCCGAAGGTGGCTGGATGCGATTGAGCTGTCACCGGACCACGTTCCAAGTCCTCACCCCCTTCGAAGGTGGCTGGATGTAATGGAGCTGTCAACGGACCACGTTCCAAGTCCTGCATCTCACGTACACCCACCAAGAAGCTCCTGGCAGGACATTTCGACCCGATAATTACCCCGGTCAAAATCCCATCAAAACCAACCAAAGAGGCAAGTTGCATTTCGCAAACGATGTGTGGCTGATTATGGCTGAGATTACTCCATGGCCTGTCATTTGTCAGGTTGTCGAACTGCACACATATCAGCTCAACCTTCACACGGTTGAAATCCGCGTCCAACATGTCAGCATTCAACGCCACTGCAGACTGGCCGGTGGAACTCCGAAAATGATCCGAAACGCGAGCCCGGTCCCCCTCGCAAAAGAAGTCCAGCAAAACTGCCCCAGACAAACCTCCAGCCCTTTGCGCTCGCAATAGCATGGAGGAGAGCTGGGGCGAATCCTTGCAAAGTCGCAGCAAACAGGCAGAGTTTGCTCTCTATACATCCCGCACTTTGAAGGGGTCGCTTGGTTTATTACTTTGTTTGGCTTCATGTTGTCCAACGCCGCTTGCCTTGCTCTGAACAAATTGACATTTGACAGCACATAAAGCAACACTTTTCACGCACAACTTGCGGTAAGGATCGTGTGCGAGCCTTAATCCTTGATCCACCTCCAGCACTGCATCGTAGCACGCAGTAAGCAAGGAGAGACCGCCCCCAGCTCCACGGTCCGCTTCTGCACGTCCACCCTCAGGAGCACATTCTCCATCAGGAGCCTTCGTACGGCCAAAATGCCCCAAAACATCGCCAGAAATACGGCGAGCAAATCTGGGATGGTGACGTCCGAGCCTGCAGCTTGAGAATCTTGGGCGTGCCTCGCCACGGATAGGTGGATTGCTTGGAGAAAGTGTGCGGTTATGCAAAAGACCACGCAGGACGCGCGTTTCGCCAGCACCGCATACATGAAGCGTCCGGGAAAGGAAAAAGTGATCATGAACATGACATCGATGCTGTGGGAGAGACCAGACATCAAAACTGCAGCGTCCATGCCCAAGACCGCCATCATGTACAAGACATCCTGGCTGCAGGAATTGATCAATTGTGGACACCACGCTATCACCAACCCCATGGTGCATACCCAAAGAAGTCCAAGGTCAAACTTTTTTGCAGTCTGGTCCCCATGTGATCGCCACACCAGAAGCACCCACCAAGCCCTGCGTGTCCAGGTGCAGCGCATCCTGGCCAGTTCCTTCTCACTTCCAACCGCAGCCTTCTCCAGATACTGCCTGGTGATTGTGTTCCACTTCTCTCGCCCCTTCTTCCAACATGCCAGCATGGATCCAAGGGACGGGTTTGTCAGCTTGAAGGAAAGAGACCACCAGCTGGATCAGCTTGAACAGAAGACCCAGCTCCAGTGCCAAGATGCCGGGCAGCAACACGGCTTCCGTGAAGCCCTCCATGGCTTGTGAGGAAAACGATGACTTGGACACTTGGCTGAGCGCAAATCTGTGAGCCACTTGGCAAATGCCACAGCAATCGCAGAATTCCAGCAAAACATGGGTGGATGATAAGTTGTCAAAGCACGCAAAGTGTTTGACTTTTTGGGGTTTAGCGGAAAAAAACCTTGATTTCAACCATAAAGTTAAAGTCTAAAGATCCAACCCAATAGCAGTCAAGGCAGAAAAATGTGAATCTCAGCCAAGGAGGTTTATTCCCAAACCAGGATCGGATCAATCTGGTCCCCTCTACATTCATGGCTCGGCTTTTTGCAATATGAACAAGGCCTTGCAGGCACTTCTTAAAGCACGGGAAGGAAAACCAAACCGTGGCATATGCCTGGCAACACTTTTCTGAAAATTGAACCAGGAACCCGAAAATGGGTTCCCTCGACAGGACGAGGTTCCTCAAGTCAAGTGATGCCTGCGTGGGGCCCATGCCAATCTGCAGAAAATAAGTTTTGCGCCCCTTGCTTTCCCATGTGAGCCTGACCCGGAGCTTGGGCTCCTCTCGCAAGCCGTAGCCCCAAAAAACTCCAACACTCTACGTGGTACCCCCACTTCGAAGGCTGCTTTGGGCCATGAGTCGGGGAAACTAGGTCCAATTCAACTGCACAAGCCATGGAGTTCCATGAGCCATCGGGCAAACTGAGCCGAAATGAGCCCGAAACGGTTGATCGTCCCTGTTTGATCACAAGATGTCTCATAAGTCTGTGAAGCCCACAACATGCCCAAACCAGCAAACGCCGGCCCACGGAACAACGTAGCAAGCCTCATTGCCCGCATGCAGCGGCCCGGCGCCGCTACACGACTATTGGCGTAGCAAAGCCTTTGGAAGCTTGCGGCATGGTTGTGGATGAACCGTGGGTGACACAATCATGATCCAAATATTGAAGAATTAGTTGTAGTGCCAGCATCTTTGAAAGACAACTCGGGCCGATACAGCCCAAAATGTCTGTGCTGCGCTTCCAAGGCTCTTAGTCACAGTGTGGCCTTGGCAACATGCAGCTGGGAGATCGATCCAGATCGATCAGTACGGAACCGACGTATTCTACCGGACCGGCTGGATCGACTGGAATGCCTTGAGCGGGACCCACTGCGACGAGACCCTTGGGAGCGCTGCGACCTGCGTGAACTGCTTCCCAGGAAATGTCCGTGATCAGGTCCATGAAGTGGCTGAGTCTCCGGTAAACTCCGGAGGTTCGATTCAGTCAAAGTCGCCTTGAGAAGCACCATGCAGGCAACCCAACACTTCAACACTTGGTCGTGCTCAATGGTCACTGTCGCCGTCCGCTCGCACAGGCCCAGCAAATTGAAGGTCACCACCTCCTGAGCAATAGGAACCCTGATAGAAGCCATGAACCCGAATGCGGACACGAAAGCGGACTCTTGTCACATCTCGCGTCGCGAGTCCAGTCACGTTTCTATAGTCACGTCTCCGGTCACGTCTCTAGTCATGCCTTTGGTCACGTCATTTGTCACGTCTCTCGTATAGCAACTCTGGCCACGTCTCTCGTCATGGCTTTCGTCATGCGTCTCGCCGCGCCTCTCGTCACGACTCCGTCACGTCTCCCATCACGTCTTTCTTGGCGACTCCCGTCATGTCCCTTGTCATGTGAGTCGTCACCCCTGGCCCCTGGCGTCGCGTCTCTGGTCTTTTATCACCTGTCTCGCCGCGCCTGTCGTCACGACTCCGTCGCGTTTCCCGATGTGTCTTTCTTGGCGACTCTCGTCAAGTCTCTTGTCACGCATGAGTTGTCGGCCCTGGCGTCACATCTCTGGTCACGTCTCTCGTCACAACACACGTCTCTTGTCACATCTCTCGTCACGTCTCTGGTCCATCTCGTCACGTCTCTCCTCACACATGATAATTTATCGCCACGTAGAGTATCTGGCTATGCCTTGTTCTTTTTGTATAGTCACGTCTCTGGCGGCGTCTCGAGTCACGTCTCTGGTCATGCCCCTTGTCAGGTTTCTCGCAACAGCGTCTCTTGTCACGTCTCTCTTTTTTTTGCCCTGGTCACGTCTCTTAGTCACGTCTTTGGTCACGTCCTTTGTCGCGTCTCACGTAACAACATCTATCGTCACGTAGCTAGTCACGTCCTTTGATCTCTTGTAACAACTCTGGCCATGTCTCTCATCATGACTTTCATCACATCTTTCATCATCACATCTTTCATTACGTGTCTCGACGCGCCTCTCGTCGCGACTACGTGGCATCTCCGTCACGTCTTTCTTGGAGACTCTGGTCACGACCCTCGCCACGTCTCTTCTCACACGTCTCTTGTCATATTTGCCGTCCCGTCTCTGGTAACCTCTCGCATCACGATCCTCGTCACGCCTCTTGTCGCATCTCTCGTCAAGTCCATGGTCACGCCTTATCTCGCGTCTCGTCGCGACTCTCCTCGCACGTCTCTTGTCACATCCATCACATCCATCGTCACACCTCTGGTCACGTCTTTGGTCACGTCACGTGTCTCGACGCGCCTCTCGTCGCGACTACGTGGCATCTCCCGTCACGTCTTTAATAGAGATCCTGTCGCGTGCGTCGTCGCCCCTCGCGTCACGTCTCTTCTCAGGTCTCTTGTCATACCTGGATCTTCCCAAGTCCGATTTGTTCTGCCTTTTCGTGCGAAACTGCTTTTCCAGAAATATAAATTGGATGTATGCAACACACTGGTGGAGGCGTTTTTCCCGATACAAAAGCGTGTTTTTGCGACACGAAGGCGTTTTTTGCCGAACCCTGTTCTATAGGCAGGTGTCCCAATTGCGCTTTTTGAAGGGAAAAGCGTTGTTATGAAAACGACTAAAAATTTTGTAGTTACGGCAAGAACCGGGTTTTCTAGGTGTTTGCCGTCCCGTATCTGGTACCTCTCGCGTCACGATCCTCGTCACGTCTCTCAAACATCGTCACGCCTCTGGTCACGTCTTTCGTCACGTCTTTGGTCACGTCCTTTGTCACGTCCGTCGTAACGACTCTGGCTTTTCTCACAACTCTCATCATGTGTCTCAACGCGCCTCACGTCACGACTCCGTCGCATCTCCCGTCCTGTCTTTGGTGGTCTTTCTCATATCTCTAGCCACGACCCTACTCGCATTTCTCTCGTCATCGTGTTTCGTCACGACTTCGCGATCTTAAAATGTGCTCCGCACCATGCACGGCGAAAGCAATTCAACCCATCCAAAGTGCTGCTGTGCGATTTCAAAATGTGCGTCTCTTGTCACGACCCTCGCCACGTCTCTTCTCACACGTCTCTTGTCAGATTTGCCGTCCCGTCTCTGGTACCCTCCGCGTCACGATCCTCGTCAACACCTGTGTTGAAATGGGTCGTCGGTTGTCGGCGTTTGGGAGTTTTCCAAAGTCGGGCGTGGCGGAACTCTCACGGTGTCGGGGTTCCCCTTTTGGCCGTCAGCCGTTCGGTCGTCGTCGTCATCGTCGTCGGTGGTCGTCGGTCGTCGATCGGGTCACCTCTCTCATCATGTGTGTCGACGCGCCTCACGTCACGACTCCGTCACATCTCCCGTCCTGTCTTTCGTGGTGAATTTGTTCAAAGCTCTATAGCCACGACCCTAGTCGCGTTTCTCTTTGCGAGCTCAAAATGCGCACCGCGCCACAGAGAGAGCGACTCGACCCGCCCAAAGTGCGCAGAGGGTTCACTTTGCAATCTCAAAATGTGAGCCGCGCCACAGCGAGAGCGATTCGACCCACCGAAAGCGCGCAAATGGTTTATTTTGCGATTTCAAAATGCGCACCGCGCCACAGCGAGAGCGATTCGACCCACCCAAAGTCCGCAGAGGGTTCACTTTGCGGTCTCAAAATGTGCACCGCGCCACAGAGAGAGCGATTCGACCCACCCAAAGTCCGCAGAGGGTTCACTTTGCAATCTCCAAATGCCACCACGCGACAGCGAGAGCGACTCAAATGCTGCGCCTGCCATGAAATCTGCACGCAAGCTGGAAAGTACTGCGCCTGCCACGAAATCTGCACGAAAAGCTTTAAAGTGCTGCGCCTGCCACGAAATCTGCACGCACAGCTCTAAAGTGCTGCGCCTGTCACGAAATGTCACGTTACAGCGACATGCAAAACGCTCAAAATGCTGCGCCTGCCACGAAATCAGAATTTGACACTCTCGCGTTGCACGCGGAAAACTAGCGCGGGACTGTAGCGCCAGAATGATTTCGACCGATTTCTCGCAAATCTGCAGTTGTGAAAACGAGCCGATTGTACGACAGAGCCAACGAAAACGACATTCGAGGAAACGCTTGCGAGCGCATTTTGAGCAAAACACCTCAAAACGACGACCCCTGAAACGCAAATCCCAATGGATTTGCAACGCAAACGTGAGCCTTCACAAAACGCTGCGCCTGCGCTGCAAAACCACGTCTGACATGCTAAGAGCTACGATTCCCGCACAGGGGCACGAAAAACGACACGCTTCAAGTCATCTAAGTGGCACGTCTTCGCTTTCCCCACTGGAGCTGCGTGCGCGACACTCGCGGACACATGTGGACGCTGGAAGACGTAAATCAACTTCTGGTCACGTCCTAACGCCCAGACCCCCGACCTCTAAACGGGAACCGGGAAAAACATATTGTCAGCATGGCTATGCTATGCCCATGCTATCATCGACATGGCTTTGACGGATTGTGAAGGCTAACATGCAGTTAGACATGTGATCATGAACCTGGAGCCAAACAACTGGAAGACCAAAGTTCCTGTTTCTGACAGACCCAGTTGCAACCAGACTTGAAGCCCCTTTTCAGGTTGTTTGTCATTCTTAGTGCGTCACAGCCCTTTCTTGGGGATTCAAGGTTGAAATGAACTGAGCAAACAGTTTGCTTCCTGTGATTGAAAATAATGGCTGCAAAAGGGTCTTCTACAGATGGTTGCGAAGCGGCTTTGAACTGATTATTTGGGCTCCTGGTCTCTCTCCTTCTGCGGCTGCGCTCGCTTGGCAAATCCGTTGCCCACAAGCTGCAATTGCCCGCCCAGGGACATCCGAGTGTCCGGGCTTGCTATGTCCAGAATTTGCTCCTTGAGTTGAAAAGGTATCACACAGTCCACAACTCACTGCAATTCACGCGGAAACACATCGGCTTTTAAAACATCGGCTTTCTGACCACGCACTTCCTCAACGTTTTCGATTTCGGCTTTGGAAAGTTGGGAATTGCCGAAGGAACCTCTGTTGGCCCTTTGCATCTGTTGGTCTTGGTGCAAAAACGTGTATCAAACTGCGCATGTCAAAGTGGACTCAATTTCTTTCCCAGCATCCGGCATGTTCTCACCCACCGGCAGCAGCTGTTGGCAAAGACGCTGCACCCCATCGCTCATAATGTGAACTTGGAACGAGTACACATCGAAGACCACAAACAAATCTTCATCCCCTCTGAAGATGACTGGATGCGATTGAGCTGTCACCGGACCACGTTCCAAGTCCTCACCCTGTTCGAAGGTGGCTGGATGTAATGGAGCTGTCAACGGGCCACGTTCCAAGTCCTGCATCTCTCGTACACCCACCAAGAAGTTCCTGGCAGGACATTTCGACCCGATAATTACCCCGGTGAAAATCCAATCAAAACCAACCAAAGAGGCAAGTTGCATTTCGCAAACGATGTGTGGCTGATTATGGCTGAGAATACCCCATGGCCTGTCATTTGTCAGGTTGTCGAACTGCACACATATCAGCTCAACCTTCACACGGTTGAAATCCGCGTCCAACATGTCAGCATTCAACGCCACTGCAGACTGGCCGGTGGAACTCCGAAAATGATCCGAAACGCGAGCCCGGTCCCCCTCGCAAAAGAAGTCCAGCAAAACTGCCCCAGACAAACCTCCAGCCCTTTGCGCTCGCAATAGCATGGAGGAGAGCTTGGGCGAATCCTTGCAAAGCCGCAACAAGCTGGCAGAATTGCCCATAGTTGCCCCTCTGATATACACATCCCATGGGTTGCTTGGTTTCCTTTGGTTTGCCTCATGTTTGGAAGGTGCAGTCCGTTTGAAGGGCCTTCAAACAAATTGAAGACACCACATGAAGCTCACATACGGCTTGCGGCGCCAAGCATCCTGAGTCAGTCTGAATGCTTGATCCACCGCTAGCACTGCATCGTAGCACACAGTAAGCAAGGAGGAGACTGCTCCCAGCTCCACAGTCCGCTTCTGCACGTCCTTGTCCAGCAGGAGCCTTCGAACAACCACAATGCCGCAAAACATCGACAGAAACAAGGGGACCAAAGTCGCGGCGGTGATGGTAGGCCCTGCATCTTGAGAATCTTGACTCGCCTTGTCAGCTGGATTGCTTGGAGAAAGTGGGCTACGTTGCACAAGACCACACACGATGCGCGGTTTGCCAGCACAGCGTATATAAAGCGAGCGGGAAAGGCGAAAGTGATCACAAACAGGACGTCGACACCGTGGCATAACGCCCCAATCACAAGTGCAGCGTCCATGCCCAAGACCGCCATCATGTACAAGACATCCTGGCTGCAGGGATTGACCACGTTATCACCAGCCCCATGGCGCTTAGCCAAAGGACCCCAAGATCAAACTCTGCCTGAGCCTGGTGCCAAAGCAATCCAGATGTTTGCCGTGACAGCAGCCGGAGCATGTTTATTGCAAGAGCCGCGAACCAAGCCCTGCGTGTCCAAATGCAGCGCATCCTCGCCAGTTCCTGCTCACTTGGATCCAAAGCGTCAGCCTTCTCCAAGCACTGTTTTTTGAATTTGTTCCACAGCTCCCACCATTGCTTTTTGCAATCTGCCAACATGGATCGAAGGGACCATGCGTTAGATTGAAGAACAGAGACCGCCAGTTGGATCAGCTTCAGCAAAAGACCCAGCTCCAGTACCAAGATGGCAGGCGACAACACGGATGCCGTAAAGCCTTCCATTGCTTCTGAGTGAAGCAGGGGCTTTGAAACAAACTTGGCTGAGCCTTCTGAAAGACTCGAGCCTTAATGCAAGCAAGACCATGGGTTGAAATTGTCAACTCCATTGCAAAGGACGCATAAAGATAAGAATCAATAAGAGTCAATCAACCGCTGAAGGCTATCCCTCAAACAATGCTCGGACCATTTTGGGCCTCTGCATTAATTGTGCAGCTTGGCGCAATATGAACTGGGGAACATGGGAAGGAAATGAGTTGCGCGAGTGTTCCTTTAGACTTGGTTTAATAGGTTTCTGTTTTCGGCCTGGACATAATGCAGAAATTGGCATCTTCTTTTCATTTATTCCCCACCTCTCGGGCAAGGGTCTCTAGATTTTATCTCAGCGTCGCCTTCCTCCAACTTCCTCCCCCTCCTCCTCCTCCTGCTCATCCGCTTCCTCCTTCTGTTTCTCCTTCTGTGCCTCATGTGCTCCCGTTCCGCCTTTACTTCCTACACCGGGGCTGGCTGCGGAGTGTGCTGTGCGGGACTTTGCGCGCGGCTGGCTGCGGAGCGTGCTGCGCTGGACTTTTCGCGTCTCGCAAGGCCAGACCTTTGGAAGGGCCTACTTAATCTCTCTCCATCTATCTATCTATCTATCTGTCTGTTTATCTATATCTATCTGTCTATCTGTCGGTCTATCTGTCGGTCTATCTGTCTGTCTATCTATCCAGTTCTCTCTCTCTCTCTCTACCTCATCTATTTGTCTACCTATCTAATGATTTATGCCTGTTTCTATCTATCTATCTGTCTATCTGTCTGTCCATCAACCTATCACCTTCTATCTACCCATCTCTCTATCTACCTCTCTGGCTCTCTCTGACTATCTATCTATCTATTTTTCCATCTATCTATGTATCTATCTCGGTCTACTCATATTTGCGTTTATTCTGAGGGCACGTCGGCTCAACCCATGCTGTTTAAGCTTCTTTGCTTGCTGTTTGATTGCTGCGGTGCAAGTCAAATGGCAGACTCAAGCTTCTCATCGGACGAGCACCGCTACGAATATTGAGTCTCTGTTTTGGAAATCAACAGGCTCCCTGTCTTCAGCACGGCATTAGCCCGCGGTTCTTAATCGAGAAGCTTGACTCTTGGGAGCTGAACCCAGTTCGTGCATGGATGCATTTCGGATGCGTGCAAAGATTCACGCCTCAGAAAGCAGACGGCTTTTCTGCTTCAAAGAAAACGTGCACCCTCGGCAGGTCCGTGGGAGACTGAACATCATGTCACTAGAAAGTGACTTCCTTGCCCGTCTGTTGACGTGTGGGCTCAATAGTGGCGGATGCGACATTCGGGCGCAGCCGTGGCTAGGCTAGCGCAGAGATCCAGGAACCTTCAGCAGGCACTGCGTTCTTTCTTTTCTGCCCCACCTCTCAGGTGAGTGTCTTATCTATTTATCTTATGTCTTCATTTCGACCATTTTCCTATATATATGTGCATATTTGTTTCTGTATCTAGTCTATCTATCTCTCTATCTTTAATCTATATAATCTATCTGATCCATCCATCCATCCATTCATCCATCCATCCATCCATCCATCCTCCATGCATCCATGCACCCATCCATCTATCTTTGCTTTTTGTCTATCCATCCATCGAACTATCTATCGAACTATCAACTTTCTATCTATCTATCTACCTAACTATCTGCTAATCTATCTATCTATCTATCTATCTATCTATCTGTCTACCTGCCTGTCTATCTATCTCTCTATCTGTACCAAACCTTGCAAAAGTGCTGCAACATTTGCACCTCACCTTGAGAAAAGAGCTTGTGTGCCAGTGATTTGCTTGCATTTTCAAAGGTGGGGATCACTCGAAGCAACATAATTTCTGTCATTGGGTTTTCAGGTGGCCAGGTACTTCTCGGGATATGCGAGGAACTCAGCAGTTTAGAGGATGGGCCTGGTTTGCAAAATAAACAAAGTGCTGGGCAAGCAAGGACTACCTTGTTGTACCCCATGCGCATGCCGGTTTTCGTCTGGTATTCCATACAAGGGTAGGCGCGAGCCCTTTATGTCTCCGGTTCCGGGAGCCAGTCCAAAAGGCAATCCATTCGTGGATGAAGAAAACATATGGCTGTGGCTCAAAACACCAGTACCAAAATGGAACCCTGGTAAGTGGAAACATGGACCAAGACCTGCGGTTTGCCCCTCCTGTTTATTTTGAGCCACACCCACATGTTTCAAGCCTTCCTTTGCGGCCAAGGGCTTTTTTCGCCTTTTCCCCCTCCCATGCGGCCAGGGCCATGGTCTCGAGGTCCCCCAAAAAGTCGAGGGCCGCGGCGCCTGAAGAACTCCCCGCCCAAAAAAGCGGAGGACGGTGAAGTGGGACCTTTTTGCTTCTACTAGGGGGAGGACACCCGAACGGGCTCATGTGGAGGCCAGGGAAAAGGTACGGCAAAACGCTAGCAGCGGTGCTTTGGAGTCCCTATGGCTCAGGCACAAAACACATCCCCAACGATGCACTTGAACTCAAACTACTCGAAAGCACTAGGTTTACTGCTTGTGTCTCTGGGACCCCGTGTAGTACCGTGGCCGCTCCTGAAACGCAAAAACAAACGGGCCCATTTGGGTCACCCTGAACAGAGCTGGCTGCCAGTCGTGAAATCATGTTTTGCTGGAGGGAGTGTGCCAAGCCGGCCGCAAGCCATGTGGCCAACCTCGAGCGAAACGGCTAAGAAAGCATCCGCTGCATGTCCCCCACTTCACCCATTAACCAACCACGATTCGACATCAACGGGTGTGAACACATTCCACTGTTCAAACATCCTGGGATTCAGCCCAAGTGACCCTACAAGTTAAAATCCTTTTCCGGTTCCTCGGATGTATAACCAGAGGTCAGTGAACAGATTGAAGGATTCGTGGAGCTCTTTTCTTCGGGAGACTGAAGTTCTGAAGCAAAGGAGGGAGTAGCTCCCGCCTTCACCAGCCCTCTCGCAAAGGCTCAGCATGCACCTGTAGAGGAAGGAGTCCGCTTCCTTGGCTCAGCTCAGTCGGGGGGTTCAAACGGAATTCGTGGTTTGGGGAGCAAATGGAATTCGTGGCCGGCAAGCTGAAATCTGGTTGGGGGCGGCACATCTCGCCTCCCATCCACGTCGGTTCTTAAGGTTTTGGAAGATGCTAAATTTCAGGCTAGCAGCATTCAGGCAAACGTTCAGCCGGCCTCTTCCAGCGCTGCAGGTCTGGATTGAAATGTGTAAGCAGTACTCCGCCCCACATCCAGAATGTGTCAGCGGGGTCCCAAACAATGGCCTTGCTTTCTGACGCCAGAAGGAAACCCCAGCTATTTTTGCCCCCCCAAAGCCGTGTGACACATACCAACACAGGCCTTTTCGCAATACTTGGGTCTGCCTTTTTTGAACTATCAATTTAGAGGAGACCAAACCGAAAAGGAACCGGTTTCTTGGGGTGGCATTGAAGGAATCCATGTTTTTGGGGGGGTGTCCGAAGCCTCAAAACGAAGCCGCGAAGCCGCCCACTTCGCCGCGGATCCCCACTCGCGATGTGCGCCGAGGGGCCAGGCCGTCGCGCCTCAAGCGCCCGAAGAGCCCGAGGCCAGCGCTCGCTTGGCTGCCGCGGTCCAGGGCCAGCCTCGCAGTCGGCTTCCGGCGGCTTCGGCGGGGCGGGCGGGGGCCCGAAAAAGCGGCCACCCAAATGGGGGGGAGTTCACGTTACGCCTGGGATTGTAAAACCCATGAAAGGCTCACATCTCACCATTGCTGTTTAGGATTGTCATCAATTCGGTGTCCTGGCCATTCCTTGATGGGGATTGAAATGGGTGCAATGGACAAATAAACGGCCAATTGGCACCACATGGCCCAGAGCATCTCGACTTTGCGGACCTTTTTCGTTTCGAGCGCGGGAGCTAGAGGGCGAAGGATCATTTGGAAGCCATCTGACCCCAGGTTCCCAACACGGATACCTAAGAAAAAACCAACCACCCGGAGTCTCTTGTTTTGAGAAACACGCGCAATTTGGCAACGGACCTGAAAATGAAAGGGACATCGGGTCAAATTTACTTTCCACTCCAATGTTCCGTGGCAAGGGTAGCCCCAGATACTGACTGGTCAAAACTGTGGCTATGGCCCACCTACCTAACATGGGCTGAACAACTACCTAAAACATCCAACGTGCCCCGACAAAAAGACGCTCGAATGACCGATTTCTGCTCGACCCCTGAAAAGAACGCTTGCCACCCGACAAAAAAGCTCCCTCAAATCCCCTTCTTCCATCCGGAGGAAGGCGGGCAATTGTGACGCTTTTTCTTTGTTAATTTGCACTCGTTTGGACATATGTGCGCTCGTTTTGCACTTCGATTTCTGCTCGCTCATTTCAACGACCGATCAAAGACCCCTCGAAGCAGGAAAATGTGTAATTGCGTTTACTAGATTTGGTGACGACCCTTGGTTTTGCGATTCGCTTGGGCCAAGGGCACTATTTTAAGTACCGAAGGGCGCTCCAGGCAAAAACCAAAACGTGAGCAAGGTCCCCGTTTTTTTTTGTTTTTTCCGAACCGGTTTTGGGCCTTTGGGCCAATAAAGAAACGAGCAAACCGGAAATGCACCAACTGGGGCGAACAAAAACACCCACCGCTCGGAGCAAAAATGCCACCCGCTTGGGTTCCTTTGGGGCCATACGGACTGCAGGCACCCGTGAGGGCAGGGCAAAAGGGATAGCAGGCACAGAATGAAGACGTTTGGAGCCAAAAACGCGGTGGGAACTTTTGCAAAACGAGGTGAATCCAAATCAAAGACCCGCAGAAAAATGGGAAGCTCTGAAGCACTGAAATCAAGAAAAAGGGGCCAACCTCTACCCCCGCAGGAAGGTCCTTGACAAAAAAGAATCGGATCCAGACTGATCCCGCTCTGACTCGGAAATGGAAAAAGTGGTCAGCTCTTTAGACCAAACTGGGAAACAAGGCCAGCTTTGTGGCATGCTTTTGAAGGAGCCTTCTGATAGGGGATCTGCTGGTTTGGTGCAAGTTGTTTTCTTCTGGGAGTGCGGGTTCCATGTCTCGCATGCATGAAAGGTGGCCCTCTGCAAACTGGCGACCAAGTGAAAAGCTCAAAGAGTCACCTTCGGGAAGTGTGACTCAGCATGGGCAAACTAAGGACGGGGGTCACTGGATTTCCGCCTCAAAAGTTGCAATTGAATTACTGGCTTCCGTTGAAACTGCCACTTTTGGAGATTCCCAAAAGGGAAACCAACGTCCAGTCACAACAATTGACCAAAGACAAGCCCAAGCAGGGTGCCCCTCCTGAAAAACGCGTGTGTTCGTTTCAAACCCCGCAATTGGGGTATGGACTCTGTGTCTCTACCAAATTCAAAAGCAGTTCGACTAGGGACTGCCCGGGTCTTTGTTTTCGGAGCCGGGGTTGTTGCAGAGTTTCAAGCAGCAGCCTTGACCTGACAACGTGAGGCCGCTTCTTCGAGTAGACAGCCAAATGCCTCATCATCTATAGCGATGCGCGTGAGCTGATTCAGAAGTTTCGGCATAGCCGGGCTTGATCCATGTCCGACTTTCTGTTAGGAGACATGATTGCGCCAAACTTAGCAAGCCCTGGACAGGCATCGCGAACACATGACATGTACCTTCCTATGGGTAGGGTTTGTATTCAAAATTGATCCGATACCAAGGGGCTCAATTGATTCAAAGTTGTTGCGTATATCTGAAAGGATCCCAATTTGCCCATTCTGTTGCCGTTCAATTAGGTTCACAAAGGCTTCCACATGTGTCCAGGCCCGTTTCCACTGGGTTGCTAGGGTCTACATGTTGAGTTGACTGGCCAGACCAGTTCAACTTTCTGGGCCTCGAGTCATGAAACAACACTAAACACAAGATCCAAAAGTTTGCCAGCTCTGCGGATAAGTTTCTGGTATGGTCACATTTTCCCAGGGTTTGGCAACCACTTCCTGAGAAGGATCCCTAAACATATTTTTGAAGGAAACCCCTTTTCAGGTTGGTTTCAAGGGGCGTGACCATTCTCGCGAAAGCCGCTCTCGCCTTTTTCAGTCAAGCCCAGCCCTCGATCAAAATTGCCGCGCGGAGGCGAAAGTGCCAAGCAGCAGGCAGGCGTCGTAGCTGGCCACGGTGGGCTGCAGCTGCGCCACTTGAAGCTGGGAGAACCTGACCCGACCCGTGGGCCTAACCAACGCACTTGGCGGTGATTCCGATATGCAACCCGCCGCAGCACAAAGAACACTGTTGAGGCGTCCTTGAGTTTAAAGCGACCGACCGCCCCCCCCAAACAAAAATAACGGGGGGGAACAAGAGAAAGATTGAACTCTCAGTAACTGAACCTTTTCTCTTGGGTGGTTGACAACGCCCCCAAGGACCACTGGAAGTCTGGAGTGATTTGCGGGGGCTAACCAACTTGTGGTTTGGCTGGTGTGGCATGGGTTCCATGGGGTATTGGTTCTTGCTGGTTTCTTTCTGGTCTCGCGTCTGACGGTCTTTGGTTTCTTTAGGGCACGTGGATCGCTTTCATCTTCTCGGCCCTGAAATTTTGTGCCGGAGTCGTGCGGGCGTTCTCTCACCTTACCCTTCAGTTGGTTTGTAGGTTATTTCAAAAGCAACCTTGTTGGTTAGCTTTCAACAGACATGACATGAACACCGTTGTTGGCGAGCCCCTTCATTGATGCTTGGATGGTTCACAATGGTTTCAAGGGTTTGTTCAAGCGACTCGAGGCTTACAACAGAGCGAATCTAGCTGGTACTGCTCTTCAAAATGGGATGTTTTGGGGTGTGTGGAAATAGGGGTGGCCTGTTGACCCCTCTTATTGGGGAAATAGAGAACCCCCCAAGAGGACGAAAAGGGGCATACACACGGGCCAAAAAAGAGACGCAACGTGGATGGTTTGGGGGTTTAAACCACCTTAGTATTGGTTCGATAAGGCTATTTGTTGGGCCTGAAGCATGTTGGTGATTTGCTTTGTGGATGTCAATGCTGTTGAAGCCCAATAAGTGCTCAACTTGGACAGGTGTCCAATCCTATTTTGTAATCCCTTTCTTGGCAAGGGGTCCCTGAAAGATCAAGAATGTCTTCTTGCCTCTTGAAGGGCCTTGTTATTTGTTTGTATTTCTGGCTTTGCCCCGGCTAACCCCTTTACATTTTAATTCTTGACACCCGAAGCCCCGAAGCCCAGCGGCGCGCGGCGCGCGCCGAAGCCCCCCGAATTGCGCCCCACGCCTCTCGCTTTGCCCGGGGCCCCGACAGGGCCAGGCTCGCTTGCCAGCGGTAGCCCTTGGCACAGGCGCTGCACGCCGCTGAGAAGGCCACGACGTTGGCTCGGACGCGAAGGCTCAGCTCCTCTCGGCTCTTGGGTGGTCTGGGAAATGAAACACTTGGGGGCTGGTTGATTCTAAGGAGTTGCCCAGAAAAGCAACAGCAAAAGTCCACAACAATCATGATACAAAAAACCACCACAAGCTGCAATTAAAACTTAATTTGGCGTGGGGTCTAAAGCAGGATTGCGCGAAAGGCCCCTCGCATTCCCCAAGTAGGGGCTCTTCTTCATGGGTTTTTGGCCCTTCCTTTTCCTTCTTCCTCAAAACTCATCATAACATGGCCAGAATGGTGATGTTCCGCATATCCTCCTGGTGAATCCCCATCCAATCTGCCCACAATGCCAGTAGCAAGTCCTCCAACAGCTGCAGTGCATGACGCCACTTGCCCTCCTCCTGGAGCCCACGTGAACGCAACTTGCCGAACTGTCTGATGGAATCTGTGCGTGTGCCAGTCTGCTTGCCTGTCTGTCGCCCTCCTGCCCGTCTGTGCCCCTCTCTCTGTGTGGCCGTGCGTGGTCTGTGTGTGTGGTGTGTTGCGCGTGTGTCTGTGTGTCGCGTATGTGTCCGTGTGTGTTGTGTCCCTCCGTACTGGATGGACTTCTAAAACTAGAGAGTTTTCAGGAAACCCGCAGGGTCCGGTCCGGTGAGGCCAGGCCCAAACCCATGGAATGTTGGTCCTTCGAATGTGTTCTTCGAATATGTTTACCTAAGGTTTGTATCATCCTTGCTACAGCCTTGATTCCACCAGTTATATAGGCTTTGCTATGGGGATAGCTAGTGTAAATATAAAACTAGAGGACGATTGGCCCGAAAGCATTTTCCCCCAAGCGCTTCCCATCATGTGCTTTTCCAGCCGCGGAGACGCCCTTTTACATCGATGCAACAGCTTCTGCAAAGCAGGCTCGTGTAACTTGGCTCTGTGCAACTTGGCTCTGTGCAACTTGGCTTTGTGCCACTTGGCTCTGTGCAACTTGGCTCTGTGCAACTTGGCTCTATGTAACTTGGCTCTATGTAACTTGGCTCTATGTAACTTAGCTTTATGTATCTTGGCTCTATGTAACTTGGCTCTATATGTAACTTGGCTCTATGTAACTTGGCGCTATGTAACTTGGCGCTATGTAACTTGGCTCTGTGCAACTTGGCTCTGTGCAACTTGGCTCTATGCAACTTGGCTCTATGTAACTTGGCTAACTTGGCTCTATGTAACTTGGCTCTATGTAACTTGGCTCTATGTAACTTGGCTCTATGTAACTTGGCTCTGTAACTTGGCTCTACTTGGCTCTGTAACTTGGCTCTATGTAACTTGGCTCTATGTAACTTGGCTCTATGTAACTTGGCTCTATGTAACTTGGCTCTATGTAACTTGGCTCTATGTAACTTGGCTCTATGTAACTTGGCTCTATGTAACTTGGCTCTATGTTGGCTCTATGTTGGCTCTATGTAACTTGGCTCTATGTAACTTGGCTCTATGTAACTTGGCTCTATGTAACTTGGCTCTATGTAACTTGGCTCTACAAAAAGAAACAAGCCACTAGCAACCGGCTCCTGCCCGAGTCAGACACAAAAATCGCTATGTCGTGAAAGCGTATGTTTCTGCAAAGCAGGCTCGTGTAACTTAGCTCTGCGCAAGATGGCTCTGCGCAACTTGGAGCGCTGCTACCTGGCGCGCGCAAGCTACTTTACGCGAGTGGCTCTGCGCAACTTGGCTCTGTGAAGCGTGGCTCTGCTGCAAGTCTGCTCAGCGCAATGTGCTTTGCTCAAGTTACGCTACACGATTTCTCACGAAAGTGGTCTGCGCAAGCTGCATTGTTCCAGGCTGCAATCGGGCAAGTTGCTCTCTGCACGCTGCTGCACGCAAGTGCTCTGTGCAGGTTGCTCTGAGCAAGTTGCTCTGCGCACGTGCTCTGCGCCAGTTGCTCCGTGCGAATGTGCTCTGTGCAAGTTGGTCTGTGCAAGTTGCTCTGCGCAAGTGCTTTGTGCAAGTGCTCTGTGCGATTCGCAGAGCGCAAGTTGCTCTGCGCCAGTGACTCTGCGCAAGTTGCTCTGCGCAAGTGCTGCCGGAGCTGTGGGAATGTACTTCGCGTACAATTTTGGTACTTAAAAGTTGCGATTTTCCAGCCGGAGCTGCGGGAGTGTGCTCCGCGTACTACGTTGTACTTAAAAGTTGCGATTTTCCAACCGGAGCTGCGGGAGCACGGTCCGCACACTACGTCTGTACTTAAAAGTTGCAATTTTCCTGCCGGAGCTGCAGGAGCACGCTCCGCGTACTACGTTTGTACTTACAAGCTGCGATTTTCAAGCCGGAGCTGCCGCGGACCAGGAGGGAATCGAACCCGCGACCGCGGGATTGCGAAAGCAGGCGCGCGAGCCACGAGACAACTTCCAAAGGCCATTTCGCGAGCAAGAAATTCGCACGGCGCCACAGCGAGAGCGCTTCGACACGCACGATCCCCGCAGAGGGTCGCGCGCGGCTAGCAGAAATCGTAAAAAGTCCTCAGTTTTTGAACCTCGACCACGCGAATCTCCGCAGAGGGTCGCGCGCGGCCGGCAGAAATCGTAAAAAGTCCTTTTGAACCTCGACCACGCGGATCTCCGCAGAGGGTCGCGCGCGCACCGCAGAAATCGTAAAAAGACCTCAGTTCCAGCACCATCCGACTACCGTCTAAATTGTATTTTCGGAACTACCGGGTATTTTTATTTGGCAGTAGTTCCGAAAATAAAATAAACGACAGTATAGATCTGCGATCTACGGTCGTTTCATGTGGCCCCAAACAGTGAAAAACAAGACCACGGTGGCACGGGGTGACACACATGCGACACGGGGTAACACGCAGGCGACACGGGGTGACACGGGGCGACACGGGGGCGACACGGGGGCGACACGGGGCGACACGGGGGCGACACGGGGGCGACACGGGGGCGACACGGGGTGACACGCTCAAACGACAGTAGCTCGCAGCGATCTACTGTCGTTCTGGGGGGGGCGACACAGGGGCGACACGGGGTGACACGGGGGCGACACGGGGGCGACAAGGGGTGACACGCAGGTGACACGAACTGACGCGGGGTGACAGGGGTGACAGGCTGCGAGTCGCTTGCTGCACTTGCTGCCACCCCTTGATTGCTACCACCCCCGCTATGGCATCTCCCCGTTGCAAACAGTAACTAGCAGTACTTAGACTATGGGCATCCCGCAAATAAAACAATTGACAGTAGTTTTTCTAACTACCGTGGTTTTTGGGAAATTTCTATCTACTGCCGTTTGGGCAGTAGTCGGAGGGTGCTGGTTTTTGAACCTCGACCACGCGAATCTCCGCAGAGGGTCGCGCGCGCATGCTAAAAATCGTACAAAGTCCTCAGTTTTTTGACCTCGACCACGCGAATCTCCCCTGAGCATCGGATATTGAATAGGATCAATACTTTGGCAGGAAAAATATTGATATTGAAATATTGAAAATTTCAATACCCAAATGCATTTTGAATCTTGATTTTTTTTGAGCTTTTGGACTGTTTTTGCATGATCTAAATATTGAAATTGAAGCTTCAAACGGGCCTCAAAAATATTGAAATTGAATCTTCACATGGGCTTCAACAATATTGAAATTGAAGCTTCAAACGGGCCTCAAAAATATTGAAATTGAATCTTCACATGGGCTTCAGCAATATTGAAATTGAAGCTTCAAAAATGAGCCTGAAAAATATTGAAATTGAAACCTCAAATGGGCCTGACAAAATGCTTAGATATACTGGAAACAAATCCTGGGAGGGGTGGAGGAAACATATCATATGGCGTTGGGCTTGGTTGACACGCTATTTTTTGGGCAAGGGTGTTATGAACAATGGTTTGATGCTGGGATGTTGTCTTCGGATGCTTGTTGTGGCTGAGCAGAAGCACTTTGTACTGTAGCTCTTTTCAGCTCAAACCTGTTCAGAGGGAAGGCCTTGCAAAAGGCACAGTGCCAGAATAGCCTTGCAAAAGGCACCCATATATGTCCCATAAAGGAGGGGCAAGGAATTTTGCAAAGCCACACATGGACCCTGGTTTAATGCTCAGGGTGCTGAAAAACAATGAGCATGCTGTGCAGGACTTGGGTCCTTATGAGCTTGTGTCCAAGACAGGGGCTGTAGACCCCTCAGGCCTGGTGAAAGTGGCTGACCTTGTAGAAGGTCTGCTGCTCATTTCCCCATCTGCTGCAATTGCCCCAGGTCCCCTCAGGCAGGCTTTGCTGAGCCTACTGACAACCAACTTGGAGCTAAACACCAAGTTCAAGCCAGGCCTGGTGCAACATAAAGGCAGAAAGGGTAACATGTGTGCTATCCCATGTAAGGAGGCTTGCCAGGGAACCAGAGCATATGAGGGTCTGTGCTGCCAAAGTCTTGCACCACCAAAGAAACATGGGCACCTATTTGGAAGTGGGTGACATGGTCCTTAGAAGCCCTTGCAAAAGGGTTCCATCCTAGCTTTGACCCTGATGGTGCGCCTCTTGCAAAAGAGAGCCCCTTCTTTGCCAAGATGGGCCAGCCACTGGCCATGGGATGGGTCAGCTCACAAAAGGTCAGAACATCCAATATTTAGTGTGTCAGGGGTCACTACAAAAATGGTGAGAGGGGACCCACTCCACATCCTTTTTTGCAAGGGCATCTATTCTCATTTACTTGGATCTCTTTTACACTATGTTTGCTTTTATGATGATGGTGTGCAAAGGAAGCAGCCTTGTGAAAGGCTAGGGGTAGTGTTTCAGCAAATCCAAGCAAACTACACCAGCCAGTCCTGCAGAATGACCAACTTGACTATGTCCATGTTTTGCAACCCCAAGAGCCCCTGGTCTGAGTGGGCAAGCCTTAATTGCAAAGGAGGAGAAGGCAAGCATCTTGCACCAGCCCTTTTACAAGTCTTGAAGTGTTTGCTGATGGTAAGAGAGAAGGGCATGCTCATATGCTCACATGCTTTGCAGTGCATTTGTGACATGGTTGCTCTCTGGGACACTGCTGGCATTTTCCTGTCCCCTGCAGAGTTTGAAAAAACTATGGCCCTTGCAAAAGGGTTTTGTGAGCAGTATGAGTGGCTTAACACATGGGCCAGCAGCAAGGACAGGTTCTACTTTCACATAGTAAACAAGCACCACAGCCTGCTGCACCTTGCAAAAGGTGCAAAGTTCTTAAACCCCAAAACTCATTGGTGCTTTCTTGCAGAAGACTATGTAGGCAAAATTTCCAAAATTACCCATTCAGTGAGCTGTGGGGTCAGAAGCACTAAGCTTTCTACTAAGCTTGCGTCCAAATACAGGGTGCTTCTTCATCTTTTACTTACAAGGGAAGGCTTCACCTTTGAAATGGATAGCTTCTGACTCCCGTGTGCACAAAATGCATAGCCCTTGCAAAAGGGCTGTTTGGCTTGCTTGCGAGAAAAAAAGGAGTATCAGCAAATGTATATATGTCATGGGACTTTCTGAAAACATTGGTCTGGAGTCCCTGGAGGTTCACAACATGCAGCTTCATAAGGTTTCATAAGGCTGTTTTTGGTTCTGTAAGGGCAGAAAATATTGATTTTCAGGCTGCAAAATATTGATTTTGTTATTGAATCTGAAGGGTTTTCCCAGATGGTGACAATATTGAAATTAAGCTTCAGAAAAGGGCTTCAAAATATTGAAGTTAGAACACCAATATTTCAATATTTAATGTTGAAATTCCACTCTTTTCAAAACCCATTTCAATATATTGATCCTATTCAATATCCGATGCTCAGGGTCCGCAGAGGGTCGCGCGCGCACCGCAGAAATCGTAAAGAGTCCTCAGTTTTTGAACCTCGGCCACGCGAATCTCCGCAGAGAGTCGCGCGCGCACCGCAGAAATCGTAAACAGTCCTCAGTTTTTTGACCTCGACCACGCGAATCTCCGCAGAGGGTCGCGCGCGCACCGCAGAAATCGTAAAAAGTCCTGTTTTTGAACCTCGGCCACGCGAATCTCCGCAGAGGGTCGCGCGCGGCCGGCAGAAATCGTAAAAAGTCCTCAGTTTTTGAACCTCGACCACGCGAATCTTCGCAGAGTGTCGCGCGCGCATGCTAAAAATCGTAAAATGTCCTCAGTTTGTTAACCTCGACCACGCGAATCTCCGCAGAGGGTCGCAATCCCGAGCGACGATCAAACTCCCGCCCGGCGCCTTAGAAACCTAAACTAACTTACATAGCTGCTAACGCCGAAGCTCTACGCAAGCTCTACCTAACCTTGGCTCTGTGCCACCTGGCTCTATGTAACTTGGCTCTATGTAACTTGGCTCTATGTAACTTGGCTCTATGTAACTTGGCTCTATGTAACTTGGCTCTATGTAACTTGGCTCTATGTAACTTGGCTCTATGAAACTTGGCTCTATGTACTTGGCTCTATGTAACTTGGCTCTGTAACTTGGCTCTGTGGAACTTGGCTCTGTGCAACTTGGCTCTATGTAACTTGGCTCTATGTAACTTGGCTCTATGTAACTTGGCTCTATGTAACTTGGCTCTATGTATAGAACAGGTTAAACAACCGGGAAGGGTCACAATTGAACCCTGTACTCAGCGCGCTTTTTCCTTGAGCCACGTGCAGTCGTAATGATGAGACTGCACAAGTGAGACATGCATGCATTGGGGTTTACATGGTTGATAAATACATCACGTTGCAAACTACACCCCCCGTGCCCGAGTGTGAAACAGGAGGACAAATGAAAGGGATGAGACAACCAAAGAAACCCGATAGGCATGATGTCATTTTGCAGCACACAAGCACTTGGATTTGAGCGATCGGTAGCTAAGGTCTTCCGCCTCCACTGACCGTCGCTCTCGCGAGGCGTGCTCGTGCACTGTACATTGATCCTCGGCCAACATGATTGAGAAGTATAATGGAAATTGAATTTGAAATGTAAATGGATGTCAGCCGAAGATAGAAAATATTGTCGAAGAGATCGCTCATTCATCGCCAATCCCAATTGCGGGAGCTCTTCCACGGGCGCTGATCATCAGACCACCACGAGTCCCAGGACTGGCCCCAACTTCCCCAGTACGACTGGCTCCATTGACGATCCTGCCATTGGCCACCGGTCTCCCGGAGCTGCGGAATGGGCTTGCGCGCCACACCGACAACTGCAGGGAGCGGGGTGGCCCGCCCAGGGATCTCGATGTTGGGGATCTCCTCTTCGACGAAGCAGAGCAACTCCACCAATACCATTTCGGGGTCTCCCACAGACGAGAAATCCCGGGTCCAGCCCATCACGCTGTAGCGGTTGCTCTTGTCAAGGCTTCCGTAAAGTGCAGCAAATTGTTCTGGTTCCAGAAACCTGCCGCCATGCACAACGTAGACGTCCTTCGGGTCGACCTCCTGCACATCCTCCGTAGGCGGCACCAGCGTTAGCCGTGCGTGATATTTCGGCACAGCCACGCTTCCTTGGATCATCTCCTTGGTTCTCACGAAATTCGGAATGATGCATCGTGCCACTTTCTCGACGAACTCGAGGGCGGACGGCGTCAGGTCTCCCCGCGCGGCAGTGTAGGCGTAAAAGGGGTCATTGATCAGCCTCTCGTAGAGCGTGGTGTACTCCTTGTTGCGAAGAACTGCTTTCTTGGCAATGTCCTTCATGATGCCGAGGCCCCCTCTTGCGCTTCGATCCCCCCGCGCATCCTTTCGCTGCGTCAAGATCTGAGTCTCAACCTGGTCCATGGACAACGGCACGCCCAATGAGTTGGCCATCTCCTGCAACCGGACGACCCTGGCTATCTTCTTGATGTCGGGCATCCGTTCCATCAACTGGCTGCACTGGAAACAGTTGATGGTGCCAACCGGGATGAGAATTTTGCAGCGATTGCACTCGACATCAGGGATGTGCATCACTTCGGCGAACCGCCAGTTTGTCGACTTCTTCCTGTTGGGGTCGAGTTCCTGCCACAAACCGCTCCGGCCTCGGGTTTCCCCGGGCTGCTGCGTCACAGCACGGGCCCAATTTCTGTAGAGGCCGTAGCGAGCAGTCTCGAACTCAAGCATGACTTGCTCGTCCTTCGGAAGATTTTCGTCGACGACATCCTTGACTTTCGTGATATTGCCGATGCGATGGGGCCGAGTCAAGTCACGGCACGCCGTTGGAGCCCATTGCTTGTAGTAGGCCTTGCATTCCTTCTCGAGGTTGGCCATGAAGGACTCCAGCACCGGGGTACCGACGACGCCTTTCTGGGTCTCTTCTCGGTACTTCTTGATGCTTTCCTGGTAGTTCCGCCTGACGCTGACGTACATCCGGTTGGACCAGATGAACTTGGCACATTCAGCGTCGTAGGCGTAGATGAGGACCTTGTTCGTGATCCAATCCTCCGTCACCAGGGCTTCCCCGTCTCCGGGTGCGTACAGCCGACACCCCAATTGGATCAACATCTCCACGTCGACGGCGATGTTGATGGGTCGGTCAGCACGCGCACCCCCCGCCTTCCGGCCATGCCTGTCCCAAGGAGGCACCACCGTTAGGTAGGCGTGACCACGCGAGGTTTGCCGGTCCCCCATGCCGCCCGGGAAGATGCCCATGTAGATGATGTCAAAGAAGTTCTGCATGTTGCACGTGTGGTATAGCGATCTTGGGCAGCGCCTTTCGGCGTGCGTCCGAGAAATCTTTGCAGAAGCCCGGTCGCACACCCTTCTTTGCGTGCTCGATGGAGTAGTTGACATCCATTGCAATGGGATCTCCAGGAATGTTGTCAAAGCCACTGGCCTCAGTCACCCAATCGTTGTGGCCGGTGAACGCGCGAATGCGTAGGGGCATGAAACTGAGCCCGTTCCATTGCTGCCCGGCCGGCGCGTGCTCGATGTAGACCTCGAACCGATTCGATGTGGACGTGGCCTGAAGAAGAGTGTATTGGGAGCAGTTCCAGTCATATCGGCGCTGGATCCATTTGGCAACGGCTGCATAGTCGAAGGAGTTGTCCTTGAGATTGATCTCAGGGATGGATCGCGTCGCGCGTTCATGGGCATGTCCGCGAACCAAATACGACACCTTCTTGCTCAAGAACGTCCTTCTGCCATAGTTCTGGATCTGGGGAATCTTGATTCCTGAGCACTTGATCCACTCCCTCTTGGGTTCATCAGCCTGGCCACGGGTCTCCCCGGGCTTTGAAGCAGCTTTGGGAACTGCCTTCGCCTTGGGGATGTTCTCCGGGCCACGGATCTCTCCGGGCTGAGTCTTGCTAGTCCCAGCCACGGG